TGGGGTGGTGGCTCAGTGGTAGAGCTCTTGTCTGGCATGTGTGAGTTACTGGGTTTGATTCTCAGCACCACATTAAAAAAAATAAATAAATGATAAAGATATTGTGTCCATCTATAGCTAAGAATATTTTTTAAAAATTAAAAAGCGCTGGGGAGGTAGCCCCTGGGTTCAATCCCCAGTACAATAAATAAACAAACAAATAAATAAATACACGGCTGTGGTCATGTCAAGCTGGCCCCACAGAGGACAGGCTCTAGGCCCTGCAGCGCACGGGGGTGAAGTGAGGAGCCGACAGTATTGACCACCCTCACACTGCACTAGTGGTGGCGGGCGCTGCTTGGAGCCCTCCTGTGGAGGGGCTCAGCACACCTCACAACCACGTCAGGGAGGCTCCGGGCCATCCTCCATTCACAGACAGGAACACGCAGGTGAGATGGCTCACCCCCAAGATCCATGTCCCTGGGTTTGGAAGGGTCACCTGCTTGGACAAAAACCATTTCCCACCACCAACCAGCAGTGCTTTCTAACCGTGAGAGTGTCCTCTCGCCATCCGCAGGGCGGCCGCGGCCTCCTCCCCTGGCTGAGCTGTGCTGGCCCCCAGGGTCCAGAGCAGTCCAGCCTCTCAGCAGCAGGTGGACTTGAACCTGGAGGCCTGCCTGCCCCCTGCTGGAGACAGGGTGCCCATCCTCTCAGGGGTGTCTTGTGGATGTCACGTAAGCACCATGGGACACCAGCAGAACAAGCCTGTCTCTGTACCCATTCAGTGAGGCAGGTATGGAGGCCCAGAGAAGGGAGAAGTCCTACTGGGGTCACTCTCCTCGGCATCTTCATTTCCTTTTGAGGTACACAGTAGGGATGGGCCGCGCAGCAACAGCAGGGTCAAGGCAGGGAGTCACAGCCAGGGGCCAACACCAACCCCTTCCTCCCCTGGGAGGCAGAGAGAGCACAGGCCTGACCCGAGGGAGATGCTGGCTGTGGCGGCTGGGGGCGGCGGGGAGGAGGCTGACTGGGAGCTCTGTTCCTTTCCCGCCCGAGTCCCACCCAGAGCCCCAGGCAGAGGCAGTGCTGGGGTGGCTGACTGAGGAAGTGGAGGCCGTGATGCCCGACACGCCTGGACTGGATGATTCCACATCATGACCTTGGGAGACAGTTGATCTTAGTGTCCCCAAGTCACAGGAAACCGAGCCCCAGGTCACATCACCACCCCAGGAGGCAGAGGTGGACCATGAGAGCCGGGCAGTCGGGGTCCAGAGACTGGGCACTGAGGGGTGACACTGTGCCCCCTGCTCTGGAGTCCTGGAGTCAGGGGACACCGGAGGAGACAGGGCGATGCCCTCCCAAGCGGGGGGGCCATCCTGGTCTCTGCAAGCTGTGAACGTGGCACCTAATGTGGACCAGGGACCTTGCAGACAGGATCAAGTTATGGATCTTGAGACGGGGAGATGATCCCAGGTCACTGGGAGGCATCCTCACAGGTGAAAGAGGGAGGCCGGAGGCCAGAGCCAGAGAAGAGGCGAGACCATGGCAGCAGTGTCGGGTGACGCCTGTGCAGAGGAGGAAAGGCCAGGAGTCCTGGATGCAGGGCCCCCCGTGGCGGCTGGAACATGGTGGGACGGATCCTCCCCTGGGGCCTCCGGAGGAGCCAGCCTGTGGATGCCTGGATGGTAGCCAGGGGCCCTGTCAGGCTGCCCACCTCCAGGGCCGCAGCTAAACCACGGAGGACCTGGTGCAGCAGCCACGGGAGACCCTTCAGGCGCCCAGCTAGTCTGTGGAAAGGAAGCTCAGCTGGCTGGGCCGAAACCGGGGTCTCCAGGGGCCCCCTGACTGAGAAATGCCTCTGCTTCTGGTGGCTTCTAAACTGTCACACCACCTCCTCGTCCCTCCTTGGTGAGGCTTCTGGCTTTTCATACCTGGCAAATCAGTACACACTGGCCACCACTGTAGCTAGCAAAGCCCTCTCCTGAGCCTGGGCCCTGAACCAAGTCCATTACCGCTCCTTGGGTCCTCACGCTGGATCCCTGTGGGACCTTCACGGGGTCACCCACAGAGGTGGAGGGTCCTCATTCAAGATCCTCTGTTGGATCCCTGCTTTCAAACATTTGTGGGGCCCGTCTCTGTTCCTCTTGTGTTCTCTTCTTCCTGTCAGAAAACCTGGGAGTGTTAAGCCCTAGTTGCTAGGATGCTGGAGATCCACGGCACTCGGGGCCCTGGTGTGATTTATTTATTTTCTGGGGTACTGGGGACTGAGTCCAGGGGTGCTTTACTACTGAGCTATATCCCCAGCCCGAGCCCTTTCTGTTTTGAGACAGGGTCTTGCTAAGTTGCCGTGGCTGGACTTGACCTTGCCACTCTCCTGCTCAGCCTCTGGAGTACTGGGACCACAGATGTGCCCCGGTGCCAGCTTGGGGCCTTAATATCATGGCTTGGATGTGAAATGCCTGCCAAAGCCTCATGTGTGGGAGTGTAGCAGTGTTCAGAGACGGGTGTTTTGGGGAGTGGTTGGGTCATGAGGGCTCGACGGCGTAGCCCACCAATGCTCATAGCTGGATGCCACATTTGGAGGTTTAGGGGCCTGGGTTTTGCGGGTGCCCTTGAAGACTATGTTCTGTCCCTGGTTCCTTCCTTTCTCTCTCTCTCTCTGCTTCCTAGCTGGCATTCCTGAGTGGCTTTGCTCTGCCAGGTCCTTCTGCCATGACATTCTGCCTCACTTCAGGCCCAAAGCAATGGAGCCATCCAAGCCGTGACTGAAACCTCTGAAAGCATGAGCCAAAACAAACTTCCCGCTTCCAAGTTGTTTTCCTCGAGTATTTTGTCATAGCAACAGAAAGCTGATGAACACACTTCATTCGTGAGTCCTGAGAGATGGTGTCAATAGACAGTGACTGAATCATTAAAAAAAAATGAAGCTCTTGGGCTGGGCCTGGGGCTCAGCAGTAGAGCACTCGTCTAGCACGTGCGAGGCCCTGGGTTCCCTCCTCAGCACCACATAAAAGTAAATAAACAAAATAACGGTATTGTGTCCAAGTACAGCTAAAAAAAGAAAAAAAAGCAGCTCTGATATGAGGCATGGCGTCTCTCAGGCCATGTTCCATGTGGGCAGTGCCGTCGCACAGATGGGCAAGCTATGAAGAAAAGAGCTCTCTGGGGTCATGGCTCCAAGATTAGGGCCTATATGTGGTGCTGGCCTTTCTACTGGCCCAGTCCACAGAGGGTGCAGGGCACCCCTCGGTGAGAGAGAGGGACGCTGGAGCCACTGATCCCTGAGTGGGTCCACCCACTTATGACGGCCGCGTCTCCTCACCCTCTTCAAGGTCCCCCTGGCGCCCCACCTCTTAATGGTTCCTGATGGAAATGAAATCTGGACTCGGAGGGTGAGTCCCATTCCAGCCTCAGAAGCACAGCACCAAGCACGCCGCAGACACAGACTACGCGCCTGCCGCAGAAGGCCACCCACAGGCAAGCTCCAGGACAGGCCACTCAGCCACGAGGGGCCTCCGGATGGAGGACGGGGCTGGGCAGCGGGCAAGGACCGCGCAGTGGGCGTTGGGTCTGCTTCTGGGTGATCAGAGAGTCCTGGGCTGCCCATGGTGGCGCATGCCAGCAATCCCAACTTAGGAGGGAGGGTCACAGATTTGAGGCCAGCCTGGGCAACGGGGTGAGGCCACACGTCAAAACTGGGGGAAAAAAAGCAGCGTGGATGTAGCTTGGTGGTGGAGTGCTCCTGGGTTCATCCCCAGCACGTGCGCGCGCACACACACACCTGGACCAGACAGAGGTGGTGGTGACGCTTTACCAGTGTACTAAATGCCACTGAATCATGAACTTTAAAATTCTATGCTATGGTAATTCCACCTGAATTAACAAACAAAATTAAAATTGAGATGCTGAGGGAGGGAGGGAGGGAGGAGGAAGTCTGGACGCCAGGTCTGAGGGAGGAGCTGGGTCAGGACTCCTGGATCTGACGGGGGACGGCTGGTGTCTAGATTCTTGGGTCCTTGGAGTAAGGAGCAGGAAACCTGACTCAAACCTGGGTACTGTAGGAGAGGGGGCCAGAAGGGAGGACTGCTATGTGAAAGACAAGAGGAAAATGTCCGAGCAGAGGAAGTCCTGCTGTCTGCGGAGGATTTCAGAGGCAGATTCCACCAGTATGGGCGCTTTCCCACCCACACTCTGCCTGCCTGGGGAAAGGGAGAGGGGAAGACAACTGGAGGGGTAGAGGCGGGTCACCAGGGCTCCACACCCAGCTGCCCAAACACAGAAAGTGTAGAGAGGGAGGAATCCTCAAGAGAGGCCTGGATCCTCAGTCCCTCAGTAGGTAAGGCTGGACCCCAGGGCTAAAACCAGTGCAGGTATTCCAGAGGAACTGTGGCCCCAGGTGGACCTCTGGGTCTTAGGAGGGGAGAGGACTGGGGGCCCAGACTCTGGGGTCCCCGAGGGAAGAGGAGGGAGAGCTCTGGAGGCTTAGATTTCTGGGTCTAGGGCAGGACAAATGCTGCAGTTTGGAAGTTGAACCCACAAACTGGAGGAAGGAGGTTAGGGGCTCCCTGAATCTGAGGTGCTGCCTGCTGAGTTCTGAGGAGACGGGAAGTACTGGTTTGGGGGTGAGGGCCACAGAACGTGGCCAGTCAGATCCAAGGTCGAACAGGTGCTGGGGCCTGGACTTTGCCTCTGTAGGACGTGGACGACCTGCCTGCCTCTGCCCCACCCAGAATCCCTTCCCTGAAGGCTCACCAGCCCCAAGCTACAGAGGGAGTTCCAGAAGGACAGGGACTGGGTAAGGCCAGGGCCCTGGCCTGGAGGTGGGGGAAGGGAGAAGACCAGGGGAGACCAGGGTTGGGGAGGGGCCAAGGACTGAAAGCCATGGGAAGTAGCCACAGGGCCCAGGGCTAGGGCTTGGCTGGCTCCTTTAGACCCCTGCCCATTACTTCTGCCTGGGAGCCAAAGGGTCTCAGAGCCCGATGGTCTCCGTCCCACACACCTCAGCGCTGGTCCTCCCTCGCCAAGCAGAGAGGTTGCCGGCCCCAGGCCCAGCCCTTCTCCTTCCTCTGCAGAGCCCAGCATGCGGGGCCACCTGTCCCTTCTGCCTGCTTTCCTGGCACTCTGGGCTATTGCTGGTGTCTGGATCGTGTGAGTGTCGAGACCAGATGGACCTCCCCATCCCGGGTCTCAGGGAAGAGGTTGGGTCTGGACCCCTGGGTCTGAGGGAGGAGGCTGGGCCTGAGGGAGGAGGCTGGTCCTGGACCCCGGGCCTGAGGGAGGAGGCTGGGCCTGGACCCTGGGTCTGAGGGAGGACCCTGGGCCTGAGGGAGGAGGCTGGGCCTGGACCCTGGGTCTGAGGGAGGAGGCTGGGCCTGGACCCTGGGTCTGAGGGAGGAGGCTGGGCCTGGACCCCTGGGTCTGAGGGAGGAGGCTGGGTCTGAAGGAGGAGGCTGGTCCTGGACCCTGGGTCTGAGGGAGGAGGCTGGGCCTGGACCCTGGGCCTGAGGGAGGAGGCTGGGCCTGGACCCTGGGTCTGAGGGAGGAGGCTGGGCCTGGACCCTGGGTCTGAGGGAGGACCCTGGGCCTGAGGAAGGAGGCTGGTCCTGGACCCTGGGTCTGAGGGAGGAGGCTGGGCCTGGACCCCTGGGCCTGAAGGAGGAGGCTGGTCCTGGACCCTGGGTCTGAGGGAGGAGGCTGGGCCTGGACCCTGGGTCTGAGGGAGGAGGCTGGTCCTGGACCCTGGGTCTGAGGGAGGAGGCTGGTCCTGGACCCTGGGTCTGAGGGAGGAGGCTGGGCCTGGACCCTGGTCTGAGGGAGGAGGCTGGGCCTGGACCCCTGGGCCTGAAGGAGGAGGCTGGTCCTGGACCCTGGGTCTGAGGGAGGAGGCTGGGCCTGGACCCTGGGTCTGAGGGAGGAGGCTGGGCCTGGACCCCTGGGTCTGAGGGAGGAGGCTGGGCCTGGATCCCTGGGTCTGAGGGAGGAGGCTGGGCCTGGACCCTGGGCCTGAGGGAGGAGGCTGGGCCTGAGGGAGGAGGCTGGGCCTGAGGGAGGAGGCTGGGCCTGGACCCTGGGTCTGAGGGAGGACCTTGGGCCTGAGGGAGGAGGCTGGGCCTGGACCCCGGGTCTGAGGGGCGACGGGTCTAGAAGTTCTGTCAACAGAATGAAGTGTTTGGTTAATGGAGAGAAAGAAACGTTGTGCTTGAAAGTCCCCTGCTCACTTTGGTGTGCTCCTCCCCCCAAAGGTTTGGAATCTCGGTGGCCAACAGGTCTGTGGACCTCTCGGAAGGCTTCCCCTTCATCAGGTAGTTATGGCCTGCAGGAGGAAAGCATGGGCTCTGCCTTGGAGGAGCCCCTGGACGGCCCTTTACCTTTCACAGCGTCTGTGGATCCGACCCCCCGCAGAGCTGCCTCTTCAGCCAGGTGCTCAATGCGGGAGCTGCCATGGGTAAGTCTTCCCCAGCCTCGCCAGTCTCTGAAGCCCAAACCAAACAAGCCAGTCCCCCAGTCCTCCTCCCTCCGACCCAGGGTCCGGCCCCAGCTCTCCTCCCTGAAATCCGGGAATTGTCCCCTAGCCCTTTCCCGTGTCCTCCCCTTCCACCATCTCCACTTTGCTGGGGACTCCAGCCCACTGCCCTGTCCTCCCAGCTGCCTGGATCTGCATTGTGCGTTACCACCAGCTCCGGGACTGGGGCGTCGCAACGTGTCACAACCAGTCGATCCTGTGGTTGGGACTCCTCTGTGCTCTAGGGGCGTCCATAGTAGGCAACTTCCAGGTGAGATGCAGCGGGCGCCCGGGGCACCCCTCCTGGTCCGGCAACTGTGGACTACAATTCCCAGCGTTCGCCGCGGCCTCCGGCAGCCGGCGTCGGAAGCCGCAGTCGCAATGCCTCCTGGGACATGTAGTTTCCGGGCTCACCACAGTCAGGGAGGCGGCGGTCTGCATGGGGCTTTGGGGGGCTCATTGTCGGGCAAACTTGTGGAACCCCAGGAGGCTGGGATAATTTTGTGCCAACCCCTGGTTGAGTCGTGAAATTACTTCGGTTCACTCATTCTTCGTGGTCGGCCCAGCTGTTGAGTGTTCCCTCTGTAGGAGGCGTTACTTTGTGGACGTTAATTCCGTCATTACCCCCCAGAACTCTAGGTAGGTCCTTTGGGTCCTATGCTAGCGCTTTCAAATCAGCTTGTCCTTGCTGGACCGAAATGAACCTAGATTTGTAGACTCTAGAACCCACAGTCACGAAGCTCTGTAGATATTTATAGAATAATGAATGGACAAATGATAAAAAGAAATTGTAGTGATTTATTTTGCTATTTTATTTTACTGTCATGTTCCTGAAACCCAGCCTGTCTCGCTGATATAATAGGAGCTGGGGAGAGAACACAGGCTGTTCAGACAAGAGGCTTTCTCCCCATCTCATTTGCATAGCAGTTCATTCACTCACTCATTAAAGCCTGCGTTCCTCAATTTATTACTATAATATTATTATTATATTGCTTCCCTAAGGAGTCATTTTAAACATTCCCCCAATTTTTTTCCTCCCCCAACAAAATTTTTAATGCTTAAAAACTTTAACATATATATCTGCTGTAAGTCACAAACCATTGATGGAGTTTTTCACCCTCAAGAACAAATTTTTACCTCCTGGGAGGCAATATCTGTCCCTGCCCCTTTTGAGAATGCAAGATTTATTCCACTGTTTCCTGAGCATCTACTTTGTGCCAAGCACTGTTCTAGGCATTGAGGCTACAGTAGCGAGCAACAGATTTAAGCACCTGCCCTGTGGAGCTGACAATAGCCGAGGTCCCTGGTCAAAAGCCATCTGTCTGGCAGTTCTTGGGTGGTCCAGGGCCCCTCTCTGTTATCACCCTCCCGCTGTCACAGTGTTCCTCTCAACTTTCCTTCCTCTGTTCCCCCAGGAAAAACACCAGAAGCCCATACACCTGGTGGGGGCCTTCCTGGCCTTCATCATGGGCAACCTTTACTTCTGGCTGCAGCTCCTTCTGTCCTGGCGGATGAAGGGCCAGCCCCAGCCCGGAGCCCCCTGGATCTGGCTGCTGCGCCTGAGCCTCTGCAGCCTCTGCTCCATCCTCACAGTGGCCAGTATCCTTATTGGCATGGGGGGGGGCAGGACATGGGGTCAGTTTTCTGCGCCCTTGCTATGTGCTGCCGAGGATGTCCTTCTTGTCTTCGGGCCTCAGTCTCCCACAGGATCATCACAGAACGTGCTGGCTTCGAGGTCAGAAGGCCTGGAGTGGGGTCCCTTCTCCTCCAGGTGTTAGCTGGGGGGAAATTCCGCTGCTGCTTTCATGCCTCTGTGTCCTCACTTACCAAGCGCAGGAAGAACAGGTCCACCTGATTGTGAGGAGTGAGGAGGACAGTGCACGTGAGGTGCTGAGATCTGTGCCTGGCACGCAGGGAGGCCAGTAGTCCCGGGAGCATGACATCTTAGTCTGTTTGGGCCCCGCCTCGAGCCAGGCATGGTGCTGGTGTCTGAGAATGGAGGCAGGTTTAGGCAGGGGAGGCTCTTGGCCAAAGCCCGTGGTGGTGAAGGTCTGAGGAGTCAGTGACGGGCTGCACCTCTCTTCCCAACTCTGAGTTCTGTGGCTTCAGGGAAATGTCTTGAAGTGGTCGTGGTGAGAGTATTTACACCAGAATGTTTGCCAAATGCTCCAAGGAAAGCCGGTGTTAAGCGTTTGCCAGCACGCCTCTGCGGGAGACTCAGTCCTGCTCATTTCTGAGTCACCCCAGAAGCAGACACGCTCCAGCAGCCTGGCACACCTCTGGGTGGGACCCGTCCCTCTGAGCCTGGGTCCTTATCCTTTATCGTTATGAGTAATTCTGATAGGGAGTTCAAGTGCATGGAGAGACAGCAGGAGCCTCTAGTCAGTGAGCAGGCTGGAAGGACGGCTGGCTGCAGGAGGTGCGCAGGTGAGACGGCCATCTCCCTTCCCAGAAGGGCAGCGGGAATCCCACAGAAGGGGTGAGCAACTCCTGAGGGACTGGTTTATTCCCTTGCTGGAGCCCTGTTGGTAAGATCCAGCTGGTCCCTTGGAATCTTCAAAACCAGGGCTGCCGATCAGGTGGGTCGCAGGGAGCGGGAAGGAGCCATCGACAGCCAGCCCAGAGGGATGAGAGCTAGAAGTCCGTCAAGACGGGTCTGAGAATCTGAGGCTGGTCCTGCAGATGTTTGTCCCAGCTGGGAAGTTGGGGGAGGAACAGGTGTGTGCAGAGGCGGAAAATCAGCTGAGGAAAAGGAATGAGGAGGCTGCTCAGGCCAGGAGCTCAGGATCTCCAAGATGAGGGGTCGCAGGCCTGAGTGACGGGAGCCATGGAAAGCCCATGAAAAGGGCAGTCCTGGGGCAAGCACGTTCTGCTTGAGGACTCCCACCTGACTTGCTGAGACTCCCAGGGCGAGGGATGTCAGCCATATTTACCATCTGATCCCACTGCCTGGCACATAGGGAATTCGGAAATCCTTGAGTGAATGGAAAGACATCTAAGCTGATCTAGGAGGGGCAGGTTGGAGCTATATTTGATACAAAGGAGAAGGGGACTCCAGTGGGAGAGGTTCTAGGAAACAAGAACTTTCCCTGTGCGGCTGGAGCTCCGAGGCTGCGTGGGCTGGTGGTCTGGAAAGAGGCTTTAAGGAGTTGGGTTTGGAGAGCCAGAGAAGGGGAGGGGTGGGGCCTTTGAGAGGAAGGGTAGAGAGAGGGGACCAGCTGGCCCAGGTGGAGGAACAAGGGGAGAATGGGCTTGGGGGGGATGCGGTTGTGGGGGGCTGTGGGTGAGGTGGGAGAGGATGTCTGGGCCAAGCTGTGGGCAGCCCGAGCCTGGTGGGGAACACCTGGAGGTCGCAGCAATGGTGTCCTGCCAGAAGGCGGGGAAACGGCAGAGCTGTCGTGGAGTCAGGAAGGGTCAGCGGGACAGAGACAGGCCTGAGGAACCCGTGTGCACTTTAACCAGAGGTTACATGCAGGGATGGAGAGCGGGGATGGGAGGACTTGGGTCTGGAGCAGGAGGCGAGAATCTGAGCTGAGTGGGGAGCAGCTGGCCTGCCATTCAAGTCGCGGCAGGACGAACAGCTCATGAGAGACACCAGAGATGGCCTCGGCCTGGCCCTCAGTCCCACAGCGGCTGAGCTGGTGCCTGCGCTCATCTTGGTAGCCGTGTGGCCCTTGACTCTGGTGCAAAGTGATCATCCTCTACTTCTGGCCGCCGCGCTCTGCCTCAGCTATCTGTGAGTGGGCCGTGGCCATGCTGCTCTTCACACTCTTTGGCCTCTTCGCTGTGGACTTCTCCAGCCTGGACAGCTGCAGCCTGAGCCTTCAGCCTCGGCAGGACCTCAGTCCCCCGCCAGGCTCCCCTGTATCCCTGCAGGTCCAGCTGTAGCAGGCTCTCTGACCGGGCCCCGCCCTTACAGGAGGAGAAAGAACAGGCCAATCCCTGGTTCCCCCCACCAAGATGGACCACAGGGGGTCTCTCCTGCCGGCTGGCTCTGGGGGCTGCTGACCACTCCTGTCCTGGAGCCTAGTGGATGTGTGCATGTGGGGGCTTGGAGCAACCAGTCAGAGCCCACGTGCTGGTGCCCACCTGCCCTGCCATCCGGGCACCCAGGAAGCGAGGCCAAGGCCAGCCAGCTGTCCCTGATGGAGGCTGTTTATTATTGGTTCTTGTTGCCGCCGGTGGAATCAGAGACACGGACGCAGGCAGGCTCACGCGAAACCAGAATTCCTTCCGGAGAGCAAATCCGTACAGAAGGTTGATGGGGGGTGGGGGGTGAAGGACCAGGGGAGGAGGGGCCCAGGAATGGGGAGCTGGGGACACACAGGGACAGAGGGCCCTGTCCGGATCTGCTAAGCCACCCCAACCAGCTCCCATCCCTCCCCCACCCCACCCACAGAGTTTGATCAATAAATAAAATAATAAATTAATCAATAAATAAAATAGAAACGGCTCCCCATCCCTTTTCCCCCGAGAACCCACCCCCCACTGGGTATGGCCCTGGAGCCCCATCCCTACAGGGCAAGGCCGGTCTTGTGTCCCCCCTCCCAACATACTCCTTGGGCCTTATTTACAGATTCACAGTTGGGGGGCAGGGAAGGGGGGTGGAGGGGGCTCCCCTCCTTCCCCGGCCCCCTGGGGTCAGGGCAAAGGGGTCCCGTTGGTGGCCAGGAGCTTCTTGTCCTTGGGGGGGCCTCGGCGGGGAGAGCCGCTCAGCTCGGGGTCTGGGCGGCTGGGTGGGGGCTGCAGGCTTCGGGGTGGGGCACCGGCAGGCCGGGTCTGGGCCCCATTCTTCTCGTCTGTGAGGGAGGAAGAGGTTTTGTGGGGTTCCAGGGCTGCTGGACCAGGGCTGACGTTCCCAACAGCTGGTCTCAGGAGCCCCAAGATCCTGCTGGGGCGGAGTCACATTCTCCATCTGTGGGACTTGAAGCTCCTGATGTGGCTGCCAAGGGGACGCACCCTGGCTTTCCTAGGTGGGGAAGCACCCGGCAGCCCATGTGGCTTTGGAAACTGGCCCAGTTAGTCCCAGTGAGGCCTGGGCCCCTTCAGCTTCAGGTGACTCTCAGGGGCAGCTGCTGGGGCAACACAGGTCAGAGTCACCCTCACCTCTGGCTAGTTCCATGGGCATGGGGCCAGGGGGCCACTGCAAGTTGCTTGGGGGTCCAAGGCCCTCCTGGTTGGGCGTCCTGACTCATGCCACCCTGTGTGGGACTTGGCCTTCCCAGATGGAGGCTACTTGCTCTGGGGACTGCAGTGGAGATGCTGATGGCAGGGTGGTAGTCTAGCCATTTCCATGGGGGACTGAAACATTATTTGAGGTCCCTGATGGAGACCAGGTTCCTCTAATACATGCTGATGGCTGGGGACAGGAAGGGGGGTACCTCATTGCCATAGCAAACCCATGAAGCTCTGCTTCCAGGGCACCCTATTTTCTTTACAAGAAAGGTGGGCCCTCTTGGGACCCCTGGTTGCTGAGGCCACCTTTCCTTGGCAACGGGACCAATGGGCCTAATTTTCCCTCTGGTCCCCCCTAGCACCCACAAGGAGAACAGGATTTCTGACTGGGCATTGTGTGTGTGAATGTGTGGTGCAGGGGACTGAACACAGGGGTGCTTTACCACTGAGCTGGTCTCCAGCCCACCCCACCCACCTTTGTTTTGAGAGCATCTTACTAAATTGTTTAGAGCCTTGATAAGGTGCTGAAGCGAGCCTCAAACTTGAGATCCTCCTGCCTCAGCCTCCCGAGTTGCTGGGATTACAGGCATGCACCACCATGCCCAACTTCCAGCCTTTTTTAAAATTCTCTATTTTGAGACAGGATTTTGTTAAGTTGCAAAAGGTCTTGCTGAGTTGCCCAGGCTGGCCTGGAACTTGGGATCCTCCTTCCCTAGCCTCCAGAGTAGCTAAGGATTGCTGGTGTGCACCAGCGTGGCATGATTGACGTTTAGGGCTTAGATAACCCTGTGCTGCGAGGCAGCTTCCCTGATCTCTGCCTACAGGACACCAAATTGAGAGAACTAAAAATGCCTGCAGACGCTGCCAGATATCCTCCCCGGGGCGCTGTTCAAGGCTTGCCCCCCAAAGATGTCCACATCCTAATGCCAGAACCTGTGACTATGCTACCCCATGGGGCAGAAGAGACTGTGAGCTGGATTAAGGTGAAGCACCTCGGGTAGTGAGATCATCTTGGATTCTCTGGGGAGATGCCACTTGGCCACATGAGTCCTTAAAAGAACTTTTCCAGTTAATGTCAGGGTCAGCATAGTGTCATGGGCTCTGAATACACAGGAAGGGGCCATGGGCCCAGTAGCATAGGCAGGTTCTAGGGGGTGCAGAAGGCGAGCGTACGCTGTACCTAGAGCCTCAGGAGGCATGGTGGCCCTTGGTCACCCCAATATCAGCTCAGTAAATGTCATTTGTTAACGGTGCTTATTAACCCAGAGGCAAGAAACCCCATCAAGAGTCTCAGGTCCCAGAGCAAAGACCTGACCCTGGGACCCAGCATTCTACAGGGACAAGGCCACCATGGCTCCTGCCCCATTGCTGGGTCTCCTTTGCCTATTTCCATTCATGGGGCAGGGGACAGAGGCTGGGAAGGAGCAAAGAGACCTGTGAGGCTCCTGCTGCCAGACTTCCCCAGGGCAAGCGACTGTCCCCTGGTGGCCATGGTGTGCCTGGCACCTGCACTTGCTGTCTCATGGGACCCCTGTCCAGGAGAGGCCATAGTGCCTCAGGAATGGGACCTGCTCTCCTGAGCGGGAGCTCCCGTCCTCACCAGTACCACGTAGGCACACCTGTGTGAACGATGTGTCCCCCAGATTCGTCTGCTGAAGTCCCAACCCCAAAGTGATGGTATAGGGAAATGGCTTTTGGGAGGTGACCAGGTCATGGGGGCGGAGACTATGTGAATGGGGTTGGTGCCCTTGTGAGAGACCTGGGGAGCTCCCCTGCTCCTTCCCTCAAGTGAGGACTAAGGGTGCGCCATCTATGAGCCAGGGACGGACGCCAGCCAGGCACTGAGTGTGTTAGTGCCTTCCTCTTGGACTTCCAGCCTCCAGACTGGGGACAATGCATTTCTGCTGTTTCAGAGTCACCCATGGTATTTTCTTTTCGCGGCTCCAAGGGAGTAAGACGTTTTGGCAACAAATCCTGCAGAGGGAGGCCTGGCCTCTGCTCCGCCCCCTGATTGCTACAGACCACTAGGCCCTAGCAACAGGGCCAGCTGAGGCCTGAATCCTCGAATGCCAGTGACATCTGAGTCCTGCAAGACCATCAATTTGTCCAAGTTTCCAACTAAAAGTCTTGCATCCCAGAACCTCCCATCAGTGCCAGGGAAACCAGGATGACGGGCCGCGTCCTGCAGAGCAGAGGTCCAGAACCTCTGTGCCAGGATGTTCCACTGCCCCCAGCTGCATGGCTACTCCGGGAGGCCAGCATTCAGGTGCCAGGGGTCCCTTCTCTGGCCTCAGCACACCCAGGGCCAAGAAGCCCAACAGGTGGGCTGGCTTCCTCACCCTGAGGCCCTGTCTGCCTCCGCCCACGGGCCCTGCCACTCACCTGCCAGGGCCTGCACAGAGGGCTGGTCGTGAGTGCTCAGCAGCTGCGCCTGGATGGTTTCCACCACGCGCTTGAATCGTCGGCTGGGACCTGGGGGCAGGCGACAGGAAGCACTGACTTGGGAGGGTAGGGAAGCCCTCCTGGCGGCAAAGCCCAGCCTCTCCACCAAGCGAAGACTCCTCTAAGCCTCAGCTTCCCCCACTCTGTGGGGACAGCATAGAACCAGGTTTGCAAATGGGTCTCGACCTTGCTATTTAAAGAACCTTTCAAACTAAGACACCCTCAACTTAAAATAACAACAGGTGTGGGTTTCTATTTAAATAGATGCTGTTGCTTATTTGTTTCTAGTTGAGGCCTTGAAGACCCAGACACATGAGAAAAATGAGGGGGAGAAAAAAAAATTAAAATGAAGAAAGTTCTGCGTATTAGTCTTAGGGGGAGGAAAAAAAAGGGCTCTAATTCTTTCCAGTGTCGGGGCACCCAGGGTTCCCCTGCAGCCTGCTTTAGAAACCTCTGGAGCTCTCTCTCTCTCCTGGTGTGCAGTTAAGATCAGCGATGAGGAGAGCAAACAGAGATGGCCCTTGTTATCCAAGCTCCCACAGTGAGGATCAGGAACAAGCCGAGCTGGAGCAAGGCCTTCCTGTGGTTTCCATCTCTTGACCGATTCTTGATTGGCCATGGCTGCAGCCAGGCTCAGCAGGGAGACTGCTGCCATTGGCTGTGATGTCTGCGCTGCTTCGGGACTGATCTTTAAGGGCAGCATGCCTAGTCTTCATCTCATCTAGGATCTTAAAGTTGTAGGAAGAGCTCTGCTGTGGACCATGAGGTCAGGAGGCCAAGGTTAAGCCCCAGCTCTGCCCAGCTTATTGTGTGGCGTGGTCAAGTCCATTTACCTCTCCAGGACTCAGTTTTCTCTTCTGTAATATGGGAGACTGCTAACACCTCAGAGGCTGCTGGGGAACTTCCATCCAACGATGCACTCATTATTTACATTGCAAACTCTCCCCAGGGAAGAGAAGTACGTGGGGGTCTGTATGAGAAGGAGCTCAGCGCGGGGATGCCCTCTCCCTCTGGCTGCCCTCCTGGCTCACTCTCCTATCTAAAAGTCTTACACACACACGGAACACAGGGAGCAGTCCTGCTGACTCACCGGAGATGAGAGTGAAGGTGACGGAGTAGATGCCACCGCCACTGCTGCCATCCCGGCGGGGGGAGGGCTCTGGACCCTCAGAGGAGCTGATGTCCACCTGGAAGCGGACGGGCTTCTGGAAGACGGAGGGACCGCCACTGGCCTTGTACTCAGCCCTGAAGCTGGTCTGGGACAGCACACTGTGACTCAGGCTGGGGATCTGAAAGGCAACCCAGGATGGAGTGAGTGTCTCCCCCTACAACTGTCTGTGCTCCAGGAGAACAAGTCCCATGAGCTACCAGGGGAAGAGCCGCAGGAAAGGCCTTGGGAGGCGCCACTGCTTGCTGGCACCGTGGTTTCTTCTGCCCTAGAACCTAGAGTAACTGTGGTATTCAGCTGATCAGCTGAATCCCAGCTTTATGAAGACTGATATTTATGCCACAGCCCCAGGCTCTAAGACCACGAGAGACCCATGCTCCCTCCACAAGTACTACTGATAGCCACCGCCCCCGAGACTCCAAACACCATCAGCACCCTGAGCAGAGACCTGCACTCTGGCAGGAGACAGCCCCAAAGCCTGTTGGGAAAGGTAGTTCCTCCTGCCATCTCAGGCCTGGTGGCAGGGGGATGGCAAACCTCCCTGGCTGACTGGAAAACTGTCATCTGGGTTTGAACCTACAGGTCTCTGGGCACAAGAACCCTTTCCTGCCTCCCTGCCCCACACTGAGCAAACCCGACTGAAAAAGAACCCTGTGAGCCCCAGAAGTCAGGGCAGTCTGGGATGGCCACCAGGCTCTGTGGCTCTGAGAGGCCAGGCTGGATGCAGCCCTCACCGACAGGAAGGCGTGGACAATGTCCGCTTTGATGCTGCTGAGAGGTTTGTCCTTCAGCACGAGGAATATCTGTTCTTCTTTGTCCAAGGAGATGAAGTTCCCGAACCAGGAGCGTTTTGCCAGCCTGCATGGGGGACAGCAGGAGCAGGGCACAGGGGAATGAAGTCCCCATGCTTCCCTACCCACCCCACTCACTGTGGAGCACCCCCACTCTCCCCTTCCCAGTCTCACTCACTCTGGAGAGGACTCTGGGGTCAGGCTGGACATCTCCTCAGCAGTGGGGACTGGACAGGGAAAAGGAGGGAACGTGGTCAACACCTGTCCATCCATCACCCTGATGGCCAGCAGCCACCTCCTCCCAGGGGGTTCCAGACTGGAGTGGATACGCATTAGTCTCCCACAGCTAAACCCCACACCCAAGCGGCCTAGGAGGGAGAATTCACAGATAAGGCCACCGTGGCACCTGGGACTGCTCGCCAGCTCGCCAGCCGTGGACTAATGGGAAGGGAGCCAGAGCAAGATGGGCATGTCCTTCAGGTGAGCTCCTCCTCCAAGGCTGGAAGCTGGCCTCCCCTCTCAACGCCTGCACCTCAGCTCAGAATCCCCTTCACCGGCTCCCAGAACCTGCGAGGCCAGCCTTCTTCCGGGAGGTCCCTGGGGACCAGCTGTTCAGCCCTCCCGCCTTCCCCACTTTGGGGCTCAGCAGGCGGCGCCCCCAGCCCCAGCGTCCCCAGGAGGAGACCCGTACCCTGCATCTTGCGCCGGTGGAAGCGAGGGGAGCCCAGGAAGCTGTTGCGGATGGAATTGAGACGACTCCTCCAGGCTGCTCCCCCAACGCCACCGCCCGGGCTGGGAGGCGGCGTCGTCCCCGGGGTCCCGGTGGGGCTCGCCCGGGGTGTGTGCAGGGGTGAGTGCAAGGGGGTACCCCCAGAAGAGCGCGGGGAGCCTGGGGGCCCGGGAAGGGGCGTGGAGCGGGCACTGGGGGGCGGGGGCTGCTCCCCGGCGCCTCCGCCTCTGGGGCCCCGGGAAGGCAGCGTCTGCGTTTTGGAAGTTGGCGAGCCCCCGCCGCGGGCCTCATCTCCAGCCCCAGGCTCCGGCGAGAAGGAGAAGACCGGACTCTGCGGAGGAGCGGGCCGGTGAAGGCCGCCCGCAACTCCCAGGAGGCGCTGGCGCACCGCCCACACCCGCCCACCCGCCAGGGGCTTCTCGTCTTGGGAGTTCCCTCCGGGAGGCTGAGGCCCGGCGCAGGACAGTCTCCACGTGCTCTGGCAAAGCCTGGCACACAGTGAGCGCTGTTAACTTCTTCTAAGTAAATAAATGAACTCTTCAGACACACCCAAAACCCAATCCTAAGGAGGTGGGAATGGCCATGTGACTTTGATGATGCCTGGGCCTCTGTCCCTCCAGGGACTAGGAGGCTGCATGGGATTGTCATCTTTGCTGCTCAAGTTTTGCTACACAGTGATTCACCCCCGACCTCTCTGGATTCCCTGGGGACCTGGCCTTACCCTTGGGCTGCTTAGAGGGCTGGAGGACAGACCCGTGGAGGCTCCACTGACACTGCGGGATCTGTTTCCAGAATAGATTAAAAAAAAAAAAAGGTTGAGAGGATTTCGAAAGGCTCAGACTTCCTCTCTCTCTCTCTGTCTCACTTCCACAGTCCTTCCAGATGAGGAAAGGAGGCGCAGAGAGGGAGGTGCCTCGTCCCAAGCACACATCACACTTGAGGCTGAGTGGGGTCTAGAACTTGTACTCCCTCCACACCGGGGGACCTAGTGTCCTCCTGGAGAGGGCGGGCGCTCCCACCTCTGGCTGTGCTGGGCCATCTCCAAGGCCCGTCGGGTGGGCACGGGAGAGCCACCACCCCCAGCATCCGTGATGCTCAGAACTTCCATGGACTTGCGCTCCGGCCTTCGCTTCCCGTGCCGGCTCAGCATTGGGGAGTCCACACGCTTTCGTGGAGGGTCTGAGGGCCAAGAGTTTCAGCCCAATCAGTGGCTGGATTTGCCCAGCGGAACACAGCACTTATATAACTGCCTTCTAAATGCTCAGGTGGGGAAACGCAGGCTCAGAACAGAAAAGGGTTTTCCTAAGCGTCCAGCTGTTTAAGTCCAGAAGCCCAGGGCCTGCAGTGGCTTCCTCCCTCGGGAATCCCGGGGCCCCTTCTCACCAACATCGTTGCGGGGAGGCAGGTCTTGGTCCTCACAACTGGGATATCGCTCTTTCCGATCCAACAGCAGGTAATAGATCATCTTTTCTTGGTTCTCCCTAAGTCGGAGGGGGGAGGAGGTGAGAAGAGAGCTGAGGTCAGAAATCGGCTCGGAGGCCGCATCCCCTCAACTGCAGTGGCTTTTGGGGCTCAGTCCCAGTCAGCAATTAGGCCTGTAGTGCGGGTTTCTGGGTATCAGTAGGGTTGGTCTGCCACGGTTCAGTGCACGACAGTTTCGTAAAACTCTAATAACAATAATACCTAACGCCTGGGTTCTTAATAAGTGCTTGTGAGTACTATATAGGGAAGGCGCTGTCCAGGCCTGTCTCCGCATCTATTTACTTTCCCATCTAATATTTTCCAGGCTGATCTCAGTACTCCCACGCTGGAGCTGTAAAGCACACCCCCTCTCTGGGGTCCTCGTGCGCACGAGGCCCCGGCGCCCCCTGCCGGCGCTGCGGGAACTGCAGCAGCTCGATCCACGCGCGCAACCAGGGGCAAAAGGGTCTTACTCCTCGCTGCGCAGCTCGCGGTGCAGCCGCTCGCGGTCCCTGAAGCAGCCCAGTGACGCCATACTCTCCAGAACGTCGGGATCCAGCTCTCCATTGGAAGGTAGGCTCCGCATGGCTACCCTGCGACCTGGGGCTGGCTCCAGGCACGGGTCTGGCTCGTGTTTCCCGCCCCTGGAGATGGGGAGAGACATTATCCGGAAACCCGTATTCGCGATGGGGCCTTCTTCATCCTAGACGCAGAGTCCCGGGCCTCAGCCTGCTCCTCTCTCAGGATCACGACGCGCTGGGTCCCCAGCCCCACCTCCCTGACCCTGGCTGAGCCCCAAGCCCCTTCTCCACCTGCGGCCTCCTCCCCCAGCTCCCAGAAGTCTGAATCCCTAGTCCTTTGTCATTCAGGAACTGTAGCAGATACCCCACCCTCTCGCCCCCTGTTTTGGCCACTGTCCTTTCCTTCCCCAGGGACCCAATTGTCCAGTTGCCCCTTACTCACAGATACCAAGGATGTTTTTGAATCTGCTCCAGCTGTGAGGAGGAATTGCAGAGAAGCAGAAGTGAGGTGGTGTGCACACAGTAGGTGTGCAATTAAAAGTTGACTGGGAAAGACCCCTGACCATGCCCATGCCCGCCAGGGTCAGGATGCCATATATTTCTCCACCTAGTGGCGACTAAGCATCACTACGCACCGGAGGCCCTACTACGAGCTTGCCGCATGCGCAGTGCCATTCCTCGGCTAGGCCAGTCAGTGCATGCGCCCTTCCTCTGCCAGGGGCTCCCTGGTCCAACCTTGCACTACCTCCTCTGCAGTTTCAAGGTGCGGATTTTGCTGGACTTCTGGCTGCAGCTCAGGTAGCGACCCGCCCCCTATCACCCCAAGGATTAATGGGCAGATCCATGAACCCCCTTCTGTGACTCCTCTAGGGATTCTGTCTCCACCCTCCATTGAGCACCTCTGCAGGTCCCCGCAACTCACGCTAAGCCTTTTTTCCGGCTCCACTTCGATCATCCCCCTCAGGAGGCTCTGGCAGTCTGGAGGAATGAAGTGGGGCATGTGGAAGACGCCGCGTTTCACCTTCTCCAGAAGCTGGCGGAGGTTATCGTCATCAAAGGGCAGAGCCCCCTGCGCGAGACATAACAGAACCCTTTACACAGAGCTTAGGATTTGTGAGGGTCTCAGCACTCGAGGCGCATCCGCGTTTCACCTCCACCTCAAGCACAGCTCTGCTTTGCAGACGGGGAAACTGAGGCACAGAGAAGCTCGGCGGTTGGCCCAAGGCCGATCGATGCACTGTGCTCAACAGTAGAGCGGGCCCTCACAAGGGGCAGTCAGGCACCAGCGCTCAAGAGGCTGGAATGGGGCTATTCCTTGAATGCAGGTTTCTCCCCACACCCCAGTTTTGGGAAGGATACTCTTCATTAGTTCGTTCATTCATTTATTCATGGCAAGGTGAACTCGTGTGTGTCCAGCCAGGGTCCCTCAGTGAACAAAATGAGCCCCTGCCCTACAAGAGGTCACACTGCAGACCAGGGCAGTGAGCAACAGCCATCCTGTGGCAGTAGTGAGTGTGGCTTCTCACGGAAGGAGCCCCTGAAGCAGAGACCAGGGTGAGGCTGAGCCCCACATCCAGTAACCAGTGTCCTCCTGGGAGGGGGATGACCCCTTCTGTGACGATGATAAGATGATAAACACCGTCATTCAAGAGGTGAGGCAGGAGTCCTGCCCAGCCCTATGGGGGAGCGCGGCTCTGCTGACTCCCTGAGTTTGGGTTTCTGATCTCCAGAACTGCTGGAAGGTATCCCTACACCTATTTTGTGGTGACCTGTAACAGCAGCCCTAGGACACGAAAAGAGAAAGGAAGAGCGTGTACCCAGGAAGGCATGCATAAGGACCACAGGTGACAAGAGTGACCGAGGAGAGGCAGGGCTGGCACCGCAGAGGTAGGTGGCAGTGGGTCACAGGGGCCCCACAGAGAGGCAGTTCACAGCAGCCAGTGTGGTTGCTGGTGCCCACCTTTTTTTGCATATTTGTGTTGCTGCTGACAGCTGTGTGACCTTGGGAGGTAGCACCACTTCTCTGGAAACAGCAGTGGGCAGTGACACTATCCGCCTCAGGGACGGCGTCAGATGAGCTGCTCAGTACAGCGCAGGGCTCACAGTGGGGCTTCCACACCCACGGGCTGTTGTTACACATCCAACAACTGCGCCCTGCGTATCCCCACTCCTGGCCAATTCACTAGAGATGGCACAGAGGACAAGACCACATCCTTCCTGCATGCAGCTCTGCCTGGGACAGTGGCAGGTGCCACACACACACGCCCAGGTACCAAGCAGCAGTGGCTGAGTGAGCAGCAGTTGCATTTGGAGGGAGAGACAGACAGTGAACAAATGGACCTGTGGAGTGAGACAGGTGGGGACGTGGGTGCGGGGCAGGGTAGGGATCCGAGGCACAGCAGGGCCAGGCGTTAGTGTGGTGTCAAAGACAAGAAGCAAGCACTCGCTGGAGAAGACCGTGAACCCGAGGGCTTTCCTATGTGTCCCAAGTGCCCAGCTGCCCCAGTACTGGAGTCTGTGGATGGACAGCGCAGGGTGTGTGCAGGCAGGAGAGGGGACCCTGGATGCCACCCTTGGGGTCAGGAAGCCTGGGTTTGGCCCCGGAGCCTAATGCATAGTATGGAGCCTCAGTTTCGTCCTCTCTGTGACAAGGACGTGATGATCCTGCCAGGAGGCATTAATGTATGGATTAAAAATGAAACAGTGAGGGCTGTAGCTCAGTGGTTAAGAGCTTGCCTCGCGTATGTGAGGGACTGGGTTCGATTCTCAGCACCACATAACTAAAGAAATAAATAAAACAAAAATTAAAAAAAAAAAGAAACAGTGACCACACAGCCGACCCTCACGGCTGTGCTGTAGGAAGCCACCCTGAGGTGGCTCAGTGAGGGGGGACCAGGCTCCGACGGGAAGACGTTCCTGTCAGCCCCTCCCTTAGCTTGCCTTTGTGTGTTTCTGTTCCCAGACACCTTTGATACATACTGTGTCACTGACACTGAACTCATGGCCATCGGCACTGTCACACCTGCAGGAAGCTCCTCCGACACAGGCATTCCCTGAGAGGCTCATCGCAGGCTCCCTGTGCTTGGGGATCCTAGCATGGTGCTCGGGGGCCACGTTAAACAGGGAAGTCAACAAAAGCCACAAAATGCAAAGAGATTGTGGGACGGACTGTGTACTGGGTAAGAGCCAAAACAGGTCCCTGGTCAGCCTTGACTGGGCTCCTGCAGCCGGGTGGGGGCTGGGCCACTCAGATCTCTGCTCTGTGCATGTCCAGAGGGCCACCGTTAGAGGTCCTCAGGTGCTGATTTGGGGTTACAGCTAAGCTCTGAGAGGTGCATTTGCATTATGCAACCTGTGCTTCCACGACGACGATGGCAAACCACGGTCATTCATGATCACTGAGCACCACCCCCCTGGCTCAGTGTGCAGCACTGGACTGAAACCCTCTCATGCAGGTACAGGATGATTCCCACTGTGTGGCTGGGAGAGGAAAGTGCTTGCCCAAGGGAAGGGAGCAGAGTTGAACTTGGCCTCTCACCACTGGCTGTAGAAGGCGGAGCACGTGGGTGCACTTAGGTGGCTGCCCGGGGGCCTCTGCTGTTCCCCCACAGGGCTCTGAGCCCCAGGAAGGCAGTGCCTGACTGGCCTCACTCCCCGTGGTGCTGGCCACATAGCCTAGTGGTTAAGAGACCAGAGGTTGATCCCAGGCCTGCCACTGATCAGCTGTGTGCCCTGGGCCGGCCACTTCCCCTCTCTGGACTGCTGAGCGGAATGTGCCTGAACAGAGCAGCTCACTTATTGATACATGCTGCATACGGCAGGGTTCACATGTACCAGCTCTGGGGTTGCAAAGATCAGCCGACAAAACAACAAATCATACAAAGAATAAAGGCCTGACATGGGCCCCGACCTTGGGAGCTTCTGAGAGAGAAAGGAAGGGGGACATGGATGAAGGCATTGTGCAGGAAACACAGTGACACTGACAGTTGCCAGGAAAAAGACACTGCTGACTGCAGGGGCTGTGACCTCACGGGGGTGCAGAGGCCAAGGGAAACTCTTGGGAGAAGTGACCATGGAGCTGAGGGCTTGAAAAGTCTACATGTTTACTAGGTGAGCAGCAGAGCCAGCAGGGACGGAAGTGGCCTGGGCAGAAGGAAGAGCGGTGCAAAGCCCTGTGTTAGGAGCCCCTGGCAGCCCCCAGCCCCACGACCCCAGTTATTACAACACTGCAGTGCCCAGGACCCAGCCAGGAACAGCCCTGTCCCAAGCCCTCCAGCTGCTCCTGGGTGCCTCCTCCCTTCTGGGGACTTCCCTCAACCCTCCACAGTCCCGTGACTGGAAGGCCAGCTCGGGCACAGAGGGCTGCTCCAGGACCTGGGTCTGTTGGTTGGCGCACACCTTCCCACCACCAGTATCTCTGGGAGATACCCCCAGAGGCAAGGATGGATGTGAGGTTCTCAGGCCCCCCCAGCACCCCCGCTGGGTAGGACTGTTCCAGAGTCGGGCAGAAGCAGCGAGGGACACTTACCACAAGCAGTGCGAACAGGATGACGCCACAGCTCCACATGTCCGCCCTGCGGCCGTCGTACTTCTCCCCCTGGAAGGAGAAGGGCTGAGCTCGGTCCCCTCCCCGCTGCCCCTGCTCCCCCGCCCCCGCACCTACCCCTCACTCACCTTGATCACCTCCGGACATGCATAATGGGGGGACCTGGGAGCGAGAGCAGAGTGAGCCTCGGGTGGCCCCAGCCCCTCCCCAGGGACCCAGGAGCCACCCCACTCACCCGCAGCTGGTCTCCAGGAGGCTGTCCCCCACCTGCAGGGACGCCATGCCGAAGTCCGCGATGCGGATGTTGTTCTTCTCGTCCAGCAGCAGGTTCTCTGGCTTCAGGTCCCTGTGGCTGAGACCAGGCAGGTGGAGCTGAGCCTCGCTGCCGCCCAGGAAGCCCAGGCCCCACTCACCAGCTCCAAATGGGACACTTCTGGCACCTTTTTATGACAATCACAGCATTCCCCAAAGTCTAAAGCTGCCCCATGCACCCAATTGGCCTGCTGGTCAGTACCTCACTGGCCAACCTGACCTCATCTAGGCCTGCACACTCCCACCTCCCCAGGGATATTTTGCAGGTGATCGCAGACGTGGTATCATTCTATGCACACTCATTTAAGCAGGTGCAAAGGGAGATATTTTGAGGTTAAGTAGGGTGAATATTGAGCTGCTTCTTCAAAATGTCAAAATATATCCACACTGAATAAAGAAAAACCTTCCATCCCAAGCTGGTCATCCCTCCCTCAGGATCCTCCCAATCCTGTGCGACTCCTTAAGGCTTAAGGTCAGTGTCTGGGAGTGGAGAGGGGGCTGTAGGACCGCAGTTCCTATTTGGAAAAGTCCAGTACCAGGTCAGGCTGAGTGTTCGGCGAACACCGCCCCCTAGAGGCCAGAGTCCTGGATGTCAGGGTCGACAGTGTTGGGTTAGCAAGGAGGGGCTTATTAAAACCATCAGCTCTACCCCAAGTGTGAGCCCCTCCACCCTGATGTCCACTCCACCTCCAGAACATCCCAAGCGGGTGGAGTGCAAATCAAGGAGGCTAGAAGGTGAGGGTTTCCTCTCTGCACTTCAGGTAATCATAAAAATGCTGTGTATTTAATATCTTGTTTTGGGGACTGGAGACAAGTCAGTGAGGAAAAGGTGATCTCCTCCTGTGGACGTTCATATGCCAAAAAATGAATTCCACCCCTTACTTCACACCAGTTACCAGACATAAACGAAGAGCTGAACCTAGAGCCGGGCATGGTGGCACATGCCTGTGATCCCAGCAGCTTGGGGGCTGAGACAGGAAGACCACAAGTTTAAGGCCAGCCTAAGCAACTCAGTGAGACCCTGTCTCAAAAGAAATACATACATAAATAAAAAGGGCTAGAGCTGAAATTCAGTGGTTAAGGACCCTTGGGTTCAATCCGTGTGACCAAAAAAAAAAAAAAAATAAATAAAAAGAAGAAGAAAAGGAAAAAAGCTGAACCTACAACTTCTAGAAGAAAGCACAGGTGGAAATCTGAGCGGTCTTCAGTGAAAGGTTTCTAAAACTGTACAGAAAAAAAACTGTAAAAGAAAAAATTAATCAACACATCAAAATTTTAAAATGTTGTTGCGGGGGTGGGGGTGGGGGGTGGCACATGTACACTCTCAGCAGCTCAGGAGGCTGAGGCAGGAGGATCACAAGTTCAAGGCCAGCCTCAGCAACTTATCAAGGCCCTAAATAACTCAGTGAGACCCTGTCTCTAAATAAAAAATTGAAAGACTGGGCATGTAGCTCAGTGGTAAAGTGCTCCTGAGTTCAATTCCTAGTATTAAAAAAAAAAAAAAGTTATTCCTTGAGTTATCTCTTCTTCCTAGAGTAAAAAATTGTTACAACTCCCTAATAAAATAAAGGTCCATCAACTATTTTTTTAAAACTGTATATATATATATATATTTTTTTTTTTTCTAGTTGCAGACTGACATAAGAACTTTATTTTATTTATTTATTTATGTGGTGCTGAGAATCGAACCCTGTGCCTCACACATGGTAGGCAACCCCTCCACCACTGAGCTACAACCCCAGCCCTTAAAAAAATATTTTTACAAAAGACTAAACATTTTTTTGGGGGGGGGTACCAGGGATTGAACTCAGGGCACTCCACCACTGAGCCACATCACCAACCCTACTTTATATTTTATTTAGAGACAGGGTCTCACTGAGTTGCTTAATGCCTCACTTTTTTGCTGAGTGTGGCTTTGAACTTGCGATCCTCCTGTCTCAGCCTCCAGAGCCACTGGGATTTCAGCCTATGCCACCGGGCCCAGCCAAGACTGAACATATTTTTTAAAATAGCTAAAATATGGGCAAAGAATCTGAACAGACATATCTCCAAGGAAGATACACAGGGAGGATGGGCATAGAAGAGACGGTGGACTGAATCAGACACTACTTTCCTACATTCATATATGAATACACAATCAGTGTAACTCCACATCATCTGGAAGTGATGCTCCATGTAGGGGTAATATGTCAAAATACATTCTACTGTCACGTATAACAAAAATAACAAAAATTAATAAAAAAGAAGATATACAAATGGCCAGTAAACATGAAATAAGATGCCAACATGAGAAATCATCATGAAACTTCAAAGCGCCACTTCATATCCACTAGGAGGGCAATGAGCGAAGGACAGAAACAGCAGGTGCTGGTCAGTAAGTGCAGGGCTGGGGCCCACTGTGCTGGTCAGTAAGTCCAGGGCTGGGGCCCACTGTGCTGGTCAGTAAGTCCAGGGCTGGGGCCCGCTGTGCTGGTCAGTATGTGCAGGGCTGGGGCCCGCTGTGCTGGTCAGTATGTGCAGGGCTGGGGCCCGCTGTGAAAGGCAGCCTGACAGTCCCTCTCAAGACCAGAGTCACCATATCATCCAGCAGTTCTCCTAGGAATGTACCCAGGAGAACCAAAGCACAGGCATATGCAGGAGCTTAGACACGAGTGTCCTGATACCGTCAAGAAGGGGAAAACCCGAAAGGCCTGCTAATGGATGAATGGAGAAATAAAGATGACCCATCCATCCCACGGAATATTACTTGGACACAGAAAGGAACAAATGACATGCTATAACATGGACCATCTTAAGCCAGACACATGAAGCCTAAGCTGTGTAATTGTATTTATAGGAAAAGTTCAGAAGAGTGAAGCCATTGAGACAAACGCAGGGGACTGGGTGCCGGTGGCATCAGTGGGGAGTGACTAATTAGTGGGTCTGGGGTGATGTCCATATTGTAAAGTCACACAGCAGTGATGCATGGCACTGCAAATGCATTAAAATTACTGAACTGGGGCTGTGGCTCAGTGGTGAAGCGCTTGCCTAGCATGCGTGAGGCACTGGGTTCGATTCTCCGCCCCAAATACACATAAATAAAATAAAGGTCCATCAACAACTAAAGAAATCTTTAAAAAAAAACCTACTGAACTGTAAACTTAAATAAAGGTGAACCATATGGTTTGTGAGTTGTGTCTTAAGAATATACAAAAGGGAAGAGACGTCTTCTGGGGCTGACCACACTGGCTTCTACACCACCTCCTATGTGGCCCCAGGGCAGCCCTTCCATGCACCTCCAGGGCAGCCTCCCCCTCACACTGCCCCTCACCAGATGGAGTAGCTATGGCAAAAATCCAGTGCAGACACGATCTGGCGGAAGAACTTCCGCGCCTCCTTGGGTGTCAGTCTCCCTTTCTTGACCAGGTAGTCGAACAGCTCTCCTCCAGAGACGTGCTCCAGAACCAGGTACCTGAGGGTACAAAGTGGGCAGAGGGCTGGAAGGGGCATGTGGAGGACCCAAGGGCCTGGGCTTCCTCTTCCATTGGCCCCTGAAAATGAGAGAGCCCCAATTCCCAGGAGTCCCTGGAATGAAAACGCTCCAATTCCACGAGTCTCTGGGACAAATAAGTCCAATTTCCACTAGTCTCTAGGAAGCCCAAACAATTTCCACTAGCCCTGGGCAGCAGAGGCTCCCATGTCCACTTCAGGAAAAGCTACACTTTGACTCCTAGGTGTTTCAGGAGATAAGGCAGCTCCATTGGCACCTGAGGTCAGAGGCCCCTAGGAAATCAATGCCCTCCTACCCTTAGACCCTGAAGAGTCACCCCTCTAACTCCCAGAAGCCCCTGAGATGAAGAGACCCAAATTCTCATTCACTCCTGGGCAGCAGCGATTGCAGTGTGCACCCCTGGTAGACAGACTACCACTCCCATGAGCCCTGTGAGGTTAAAAACTGCCAACTCCCACGTGTCTCTGGAATGTAGAGTGCCAGTTCCCATCAGCCACCTGGAGTCTCAAGACTTCAAATCCCATCAGGCTCTGAGAGGTTACAACTCTGATTCCCATCACCTCCTGGGAAGCAAAAGCTCACTACAGCCAGGACAGCCAAGATTCTAGGGTGGAGCCCAAACTCCCTGGGCCCTCCTCCAATGCTGCCAATGGAGTGGGAGTGGTAACTCCACCTGCTGAGACAATGGGCCTCCCATCTCCACACCTGAGGAGGCGTGAGAACTACAATTCCCATGAGCATTGGGGGCCAGGGTAGCATCCTGACTGGGGAATCCAGTCCAAGCATCCCATGGATACTGAAGTCACTGCATCCAGGGGGCTGGGTGGTAGGGGCAGGAGATCTGTCCCTTCTACTGCTGCCCAGTCCAGCTGTCCTTTGGGCCACCAGAGTCTAGACAAAGAGGTCCATTCTCTGGAGCCAGGACAGCTGGATCCTGCCCCATCCTTTCCAGGGGGCAGCTTTGAGATACTGACTCAGAACTCCTAAACAGGCCCATTTTGGAGTGTCCAGCCATGGCACCTGGACTGAGGGAAGGGAGGGGGGTCTTCCATGCTCCAGAGCGTGTGCGAGTTTGGGACGCTCCTCTGGGCTTGGCTTGGCTTTACTGCCTTAGCCAACAAGGGACTCTGCCTTGGTGAGGAGCTCTGGCTTCAGCACCCAAATGCCCAAGAGAGAATATTCTCTGTAGTGCAGCAGCGTGAGGGTCTGGGGCTGGGGAGCAGTGGGAGGCTCAGCTCCACCCCGTCACTCAGGTCCATGGCCATGCCACCATGAACGTGCCCCACTTTGTCTGATCTCAGAAGCCCAGGGGTAGCCTGGCTGGTGCTTGGAAGGAGAGCAACTCGGCCTGCTGTCCTTTTGCCAGGGCCAGGCCCCTCACAAGTCAGCAGGAGTGCCAAGGGCTGGCATGTGTACCCTGGGGCAGTCTCCTGCAGCAAGGCAGGGGCTGGGCCTGCAGCGTCCAGTCTGAGAGCCCAAGTTTGCCCAGGCTCCTCTAGGCCCTCTCTGGAGGTCTCACCCTGGCAACTTGGGGAGGGAGAAGGGGGCTGGGTGTCTATAAATACCTACAAATATTTCTTGTTCTCGTAGACGTCGTGGAGCTTGAGGACATGAGGGTGCTCGATGAGCTTCAGGATGGCGATCTCCCGTTCCACCTAAGGGCCAGGATGCAGAAAGCAAGGTCAGCATGGCCTCCCAACCTGTCCCAGCCCACAGGATGCCCCACCACACACCTTCATCAGCACTGACTCCGACAGCTTCTCCCGGTTCACAATCTTGATGGCAACCTTCTGGCCGGTGATGCAGTGGACCCCGAGTTTAACCAGCCCTGGGGGAGCAGGCCAGAAGTGTGGGGTGCTCTCTGCAGCCCTCTCCCTCCAGTTCCTAGGCCCCTTCTCCACTCTGTTTCCTCCTCCTTCCCTGCAGGTTGTTTAGCAGCGGCCTGAACTGCCCTGACCTGAACTCCCACAAAGCACAAGCCCTCCCGCTCCATGGGCCCAATTCAGTTTTGACTGTCCACTCATCCACTCCCTGTCCCCTCCACCAGCCTCCCCTGGGCTCCCGCCCCAATCCTGTCCTTCAGGCACGCCTGCCTATGTTCATCCTTACATCTTCTCTTTCTCCACTGTCTCCGTCATTCTCTTCCCCATAGAACCTCTTTTATTCTCGTGACCCCACGATGCCTTGAGTTCTCTGACTATCAATCATTTGCAAACCCGACATCTCCCAAAGAATATGACCTCATATTTTCCCTTACCCCAAACCTCCCAGACTTTGCATCTCCAAAACCTGATTTCTCAATTCTTTTTCAATCTTGTTTTGATAGCAGCCATAGGTGAAATCACACAAACTCCAAGGGTATGTCCATCCCAGCCCATTCCTCTTCCCAGATTCCTTAACTCCAGGACCTAAGTTCCCCAAACCACAGAGGCAGTCCCTCCTCCCCCAGACCCAGGGCTCCAGAGCTCACCCTCCTCCCTCAGACCAGGTGTCCAGCTTCCTGACCCCTTCTTCCTCCCCCTCAGGGCTCAGGAATTCAGGTCAGCAAGACCTTCACACTCTTAGAATCAGGATCTGGAGGTTGGACCTTTCCACTTCCTGTCTTAGGCTCTGACCCTAGCTTCACAAGGACCCTGCTCCACTGCCCTGGGACGCTGGTGTGGGCACCAATCTCACTCCCATCCATCCAGCAGCAAGGAGGCAGTGGGCAGCAGCCAGTGTTTAGCAACAGCAAAGGCTGATTCCCCTTGCCAGGGCCCCTCCTGGGAGATGCACCTTCTCCGTAGCCCACCTCGCCACCTTTCCCTCCTGTTTCCACACTGAGCAGCATGCCACGGCAGGGGCAGAATGCCTACCCACCAACGCCTGTCACCCCAACTGGCCGCCTGCTTAGCTCAGGCCCTAGATCAGAGGGCAGTGGGAGGAAAGAGGCTCCCGGGGATGGGAGCTCCTCCACCCAGCCTGCGGCTGTACTGCAGCACTGCCTGAGCTCCCAGAACCAGCCAGCCCCACATCCGCACCGCCTCCGTCCCCACTGTGCCCTGGACCCCCTCCAACCTCTGCCCCAGTGGGGCTGGAGCATTTGGGCCCCAACTCTCAAACCTATGAGTCCAGACCCCTCTTCCTTCCTCAGACCCAGGAGTCCAGGCCCCAGCCTCCTCTCCTCCAGGCGCCCCCCCCCCCAACTGAGTCCCCACCCCCTCTATCCTGGGGACCTGCAAGTCTGGCCACCAAGTCCTTTTTCTATGAGGGACCCAAGGGTCTGGACAGCCCTTGCCCTCTTAGTACCCAGGTCCCTCCCGCTGCCCCTACCTGCACCCTGCCGGGGGGCCGCAGGTATCCGCTCCGCTGGACTCACCTGTCTGTCCCTTGCCCAGCGTCTTCTCCAGTCGATAGGGGCCCACATATTGGGCGTGCTGGGGTGGGTGTGGGTGTGGGTGGGGGAGGTGGTAGGCGGGGGAGCCCCCACCGCCCTCCTTGGCCCCGGACGACATGGTGCCCTTGGTTCCGGCCCGGCCGGCCCCCCGGCCGCCCCCCCTGCGGCCGGTCGCCCCGTTCCTCCGGTGGGGGCCGGCGACAGCTCCGTCCCGGCCCCCCCGGCTGCTCCCCACCTCTCCGGGGGTCCCCAGGGGGCTGGGCTGGGCCCCCCCCGTCGGCGGGCCGCGGAGCTGGGGGAGGGGGGGCTGGCCCAGGGGGGGGTCAGGCCCCGGGAGTCAGCATGACCCGGGGGGGGGCTGCGCGGCCCCCCCTCCCCAGCTGGTCCCTGGCCGCCCCCCCCTTCCTGCGCCTCCCCGCGCCGGGGGGGGTCTGAGGTGCGGGCCGGCGGATGCTGCAGGCCGAGGTCCCCCCCGCCCCCCCACGCGCCCTCTCTCCTCCGCCTCCTCCTCCTCTCCGCCTCCCCCCGCCACCTCGTCCTTTCTCTCCGGCACGCTGACATCACCATCCGGGGACTCCGGGCCCTTCCCCAAAGTTAACCCTTTCGGAGGGGGGAGGGGGTGGCGAGGGGCGGGCCTGGGAGCTGGAGGGATGGAGAGGAGGTAGGAAGATGCTGGGAGGGGTGGAGGATGCAGGAAGAGAGAGGATGCCAGAGAAGACAGGGATGCAGGAGGAGCCAGGGATGCAGGAGGGGAGAGGATGAAGGGAAGGATGGAGAGAGAGATGGAGCCCACAGACGGGCAGAGATGGAGGCACACAAAGAGGAAGACTGACTGATGAGATGGCAAGAGAGAGCGGACCACCAAAGGCAGGGGTGAGGCGAGAGAGAGAGAGACACGGAGTGCTGGGCAGGCAGGGGCTGAGACAGAAAAGAGGGACTGGTCGGCAGGAAGGTCATAGAGACAGGGACAGGGGCCAGCAGGGGTGGGGATGTGATATGGAGAAAAACAGATGTGATGACAAGACAAATGCAGAGAGACAAAAAGAGGGAAATGGGTGGGGACTAACAGGGGACATGGAGGGGACACACAGGTGAGGAACCAGTGCTGGGCAAGATGGGGACAAACTGGAGGCAAGAAGAGGGGGAGGCAGAGGCAGAGAAGGGAAAGAATTTTGGGTGGTGACCCAAGAGTGGTCTCTGTTCCCCAGGTCCCCCAAGATCACCCACCCTGTGCTCCTTGGCTAAGCTGTATCTCCATCAGCATCAGGGTCCCACATTTCAGGGTGCTTTTGGATTCTCCTGCTCCTACAGAGAAACTTTCTGAATCCCCTGAGCTCCAATATATATATATATATATATATATATATATATATATATATATATATATATATATGTATATATATATATACACACACACACACACATACACACACACACATATATATATCATATATATATATATCATATATATCATATATATATATATATTATATATGATATATATATTAGATTCCTATGCATTCTGTGCTTGTCATAGGTCCCGGAACTCATTATACAAGCTCCACTATAATCCATACATCTCCACTGGACACATCCATCCACATATGTGTGTTCAATCTGTGGGTAATTCACATGCTCCATTAGATTTCCACATAATATAGACTGTTTGAGATACTCAGAGGTGTTGGCACCCTTTTCATCTCCAAGTCCCCTACAGAGTGTGCCATGATCCTTTAGGCTCCTATGAGATGCTCATGTCTATGCAACTACCCTCGTTCCATGAATCTTTACTGAGTGCCAAAAGTGAGCCAGGCACTGTTCCAATGGTAAGGATACGGCAGGGAACTGGGTCTGCACAAATGCCTGCCCTATGGACCTTCCACAATAATGGGAGAGACAGCTGATTAACAAGGTAAACAAGCAACATCATCATTAGACATGTCAGACAGTCATGGTCCATGCTGAAGAGGTTACTAATGTGGGAAAGGGGTTAGGTACGTCTGCTGTATGGCACATGATTTTTAGATACAGTGGCCAGGAAGCAAAATGAACTATGCAGACAAATAGGGCAGTCCAGGAAGAGGAAACAGCAAATTCTAAAGTCCTGAGGCAGAAGTGTGCCTGGGTGCTGCAGCAACACTGAAGGGGCCAGTGTGGCCAGAAAAGAATGAGCAAGGCAGAGAGAGGAAAGGGACGCCAAGGAGCAGATTTACGCAGTCTTAGAAGCACAGTGGCCATATGTCCTGGGTTATACCTATGTAAACATCAATTGGGCCTCCTTTCTCTCTGAAGTGTCACTACAGAGGGAAAGTTGTATGATCACATTCTTTATAGGTCATTTTAAAGCCTGAGGTTTTATAGGCACATGTGTTTTTTCATCTAGACTACAAGGGTATTATTTATGCACTCATATATGCAACATTACATCATATAATGTGACATGCTCTATGTATGTCACATTATACTACAGGTATTATGCATAGTCACATGTACACAGATGTCTACACCCTAATTCCCAGACCTGTAAATATGTCATGTGACAAAAGTAATGTTGCAGATGTGATTAAGGATCTTGAGCTGGGGAGAGTGTCCTAGTTATCTGGGTGGCCCAATGTCATCACAGGACAAAGGAGGGTCAGAGTCAGACAGGGAGATGAGGAGAAGGCAGCAGAGGTCAGAGTGACATGGCCACAAGCTAAGGGAGAAGGGTGCCTTCTAGAAAATGGAAAAGGCAAGGGAAACAGTCTCCCCAGGAGCCTTCAGAAGGAATCCTGCTGACCCCTTGATTTCAGCCCACTGACACTCACTTTGGACTTCTGCCCTCCAGATCATCAGGATAATAAATGTGTATTGTTTTAAGACACCAAGCTTTTGGGAGTTTGTTAACAGCAGCAATATAAACTAATACAGTGGAATACTCAAAACCCAGATCCTATCCACATCACAGAGCTCCCAATACCCACAGTCCTTCCTATCTTTGCTCCAAGTAATCCTTTGCACAACCGAGGCCAGCAGGTCTCCGGTATCTCCTAGCTGGTGGCCTCACCTGAAGTTGAGCACACCCTTCTGGATGGGGAGGGCCTTCTATGCAGACCAAGATGCGGTTTCTTTAAGCCCAGCCCCAGGCAAACACCCTGCAGACCTAAGCCCCAAATTTGCTGCACGGAGGCCTAGGGCCTCCCTTCACCCTGGCTCCCTTGGCTCTCTGAATCCTGACGGAGGTTCTGGTGGCCTCCAGAATTTCCTCCTCTCTGCTTGGCAGGACTCAGATGAGTGCATGAGGGATGATAAGCGAGGTCCTCACTGCAGCCTCATTTGACAAATGGAGAGACTGAGTCCAGGAGAGAGGCCTAAGGCTGCACAAGTTGTATATTAGGGCTGAGATCCCAGGGCTACAGTAGTGGGGATAAAATCAGATTTGGGCATGCAGTGGTGCATGCCTGTATCCCAGCAACCCAGAAGGCGGAGGCCAGAAGACTGCCAAGTTTGAGGTCAGCCCCAGCTATTTAGAGAAGGCCTTGTCTCAAAATAAATAGAAAGGATTGGGAATGTGGTTCAGTGGTAGAGCGCTTGACTACCATGCACATGGTTCATGGTTCGATCCCCAGTACCTAAGGAAAAAAAAAAAAAAAAGTCTAGGCACCCACGCTCCTGAGGGGGAGGGACTAGGCAGCGCAAGCAGCGAGAGGGGGCGTGGCCTACTAGGGGGGCGGCCCAACCGGAGCAGCTGAAGCGCCAGGAGCTGAGGCGGGGCTTAACTGGGAGAGGCCGAAAGGCCTAGAACAGGGGAGGGGGAACATGGATGGGGGCTGGGCTCACGCCGGCGTGGGTGGAGTTTGCGATGAGGAGGCGGGGCTCGCTAAGGCGAGCGAGCTGAGTAGAAGAGGTGGGGCTAGTGGGAGGAGGGGCCATTCGGGGGGCGGGGCCGAGTGCGGTATCCGCCCCCAGCACTGGCTCTGAGCCAAGGGCAGGCGGCTTCAGCCTCACCTACCGCGCGAGGTTGGGTTGGGTGGGTGACTCAGGCACTTCCGGGAGGAACCGTGCGTATTTCCGGCCAAGATGGCGGCGCCCAGCAGAGTCAGGTGCGGGCGACTGTGTCTTTAGGCGCCGCGGGGGCTCGAGGCTCGGGAAGGTGAGATCTGCCCCGCTACGGCGACCCTCCTCGGAGAGGAGGGAAGAGTCCTGTTGCTAAGGAGAACGGAGGAGCAGCTTATTGCAATGGAGGCGGGATAGTTGGGTTGCTAAGAGACGGGGACGCACGTAGTGGAGATGGGGGAGGGGATTTGTTGTTAGGGAGAGTGGGTGGGGCTTGTTGCTATGGAAGAAGGAAGGGCTTATGACTTTGGGGAAGGGTCCAGTTGGTATGAAGGAAGGGAAGGGGGCTGTGGTTAACCCAGGTGTGGGCAGAGAGGTTTGAGGTCATGGGGGGACGCCGAGCTCCCCTAAAGTGCCGCCTTCTCTGCAGACCCCCAGGAATCGACCCATCAGGACGACCGAGCTGCCTCAGCGGTGACCACCTTCTCTCCCACAACATATTCTTCCCTCCTTCACAAACGGTCCATGGCAGACAAAGGCTCCGGGGGCAGTCGCCTCCCCCTGGCGCTGCCCGCAGCATCTCAGGGTTGTTCCTCAGGGGGCAGCGGCTCTTCAGCAGGGGGCTCGGGCAATCCCCGGCCCCCACGCAACCTCCAAGGCTTGCTGCAGATGGCCATCACGGCGGGCTCTGAGGAGCCAGATCCCCCTCCAGAACCCATGAGTGCGGAGGTAAAGTATTGGGACCCAAGAAGCTGGGGTGGGGGGCCTGGGAACAGAGGTGTCTTGGAAAGTGTGGCTTGGGGAACTAGTAGCTTGGGGTTTCCTGGATGGGGGCAGGATCCCAGACATGGAAGCATGGTAGGCTGTATTTGTGCTGCATAGAGTCATTGTAGAGGTCAGATGTCAAGTGTCTTAGGGAACAGATGCTTCTATTCCAGCACTGTTCTGGGAGGCAGAATAGCTTTCTGGGTTCAAACAAACACAAACAAACCAACAAAAAGGCCCTTTAGAACCAGACAAACCTGGATTCAACCTTGTCGGGCTGTGTGACCTTGGGTATTTTATTTAATCTTTCTGAGTCTCCAGATCTTCATTTATT